AAAAAAAAAAAAAAAAAAAAAAAAAAAAAAAAAAAAAAAAAAAAAAAAAAAAAAAAAAAAAAAAAAAAATCGTGATCAATTTTTGTCGATAAAATCGAGATTAAATCGCCATATATCGCGATTTTTGTTGCGATAATATCGCGATAAATTGCCGGGCGATAAAATCGCGATTTTACTGCAACAAGATTGAGGATAATCGCTCAGATGTTGATGATCTTAGCAATTTTATTGCCGACAAAATCGCAACAAATCGCGATTTTTCTGTTGAAAAATGCTACTTGGGTAGGAGTATTTTTGCAAAAACACATTAGCACTAAATGTGTTGTGTGTGCAAGCTGAGCCATAAAATTTTACAACACAACATGAGAACAGATTTGAATCAATGATTACGAAAATGACGGAATTCCAAAAACTCATGAACCATGCCAATTTTTAAAAGATGTCCAGCCTAATGAGTTGTTGACTTCTTTTCATTTTGCATATCTTGTTTAATCTTTAAGGTTCCGTAGGAAATGAAACTAAAACAAAGACAGTGAAGAGAGTGCTTCGTCAAAAGCTCCAAATCCGATTTTTTTTTATCCAACTCGACGAATATTGCTCTACTGAAAAATTGGGTCAATTCTTAAGAAAATTTTCTGGTTCCACCTTAGTTCTCCTTGCCCTTCCTCTTCCTCTGCTCTCTTCTCAAAGGTTGTCGTTTACACCCTCATTTTAATAATTGAGAACAGCGGTACATTTTTTTTTCTTTTTCCATTTGTAAAGGAGGCTCCAGGCTCTTTTTTTTCTGATACAGTTTCCAACATGTTTAAACGAAGAGGAATGACCTAACTATCTTATAACAGCCTTTCATTTCCGTACTTTTTTTCTGTGATCATGCAGTCATTTTTACCCTTTTTATGTTCTTCTTTTTACAGGTGGGCGCTCACTTTCATTGACAAAAATAAGACTGTTAGGTAAGTTATGTGCCTCTTGTCTTGGTAAAATTGAAAATTCTTGAGCTCTTAATGTTGGCAGTGCGCCCCTTTTCCTGGGTCCACATGACGAGATTAATTTTGAATTCACTTGGTTGTTGGAGATATTTTCAGCAACAGAAGCTCAGTGTTGCTCCTAGGTCATTATGTAAAGAAGGCAGTTAAACAAATTTTGTATATGCAATTTTAGTTTGTATAAATAATATGAAAAACGAATATTTTATAAACTTTTTAAACAATTTTGCAAGAACATTTGCACTTCTTGATGTCAAATACGGCCGTCAAAAACAGTAAAAATACCTCATTCGTAGGGTTTCAAATCATTCATTTTTGTTTTAGTATACTCTCAGAGGAAAATCAACAAAGAGCATTCCTGACTTGATTTAAATAAAGTTTTCCCAGAATTATTTAATTATCTCATACTGGTTGGCTTTCTTGCATCAAATTAACTAGTTCTCAAAAAATGTTTATCTTGTGAATACAGGCATTTCTTTTTTCTACTTTTACAGATATGTTGTGATTACTGAACCTCTCCATGTCTTTCTCTGTGTCTGATTATTCTGATTTATCAACTAACTTTTCATTTTTATTTTTATGATCCAACAGAACGAAAGAAAATCCTTTCTTTGGATACACAATAGCTGGGTTGAGTAAAGAAGAAGAACTGAAATGGATAGCAGCTTTATTGTTGGGTGAACATGCAGCATGCAATATTCTGCCGCCATCAACACTAAATCTTTTGCAGTGAAGAGCGTTTTCAAAACATCCGACAATTTCAATTCTGCAATAAGGAGTACATATTTCTGTCCAAAAAAAATGTATCATTGAACCGCACTAAGTTTGTCCCCAGTATTTTTTTTTTTTTAAGTAATCATGTGCCAAATCTTTCACGTACAATGTTGTGTAACACTTTTCGTGAAAATGAAAGCTGAATTCCTGTTAAATGGTTACAAAATGTTCTAGATCTTTACAAATTGATGTTCACTTTCAAGGTTTATCTGAAAATGAAAGCTAGCTTTATGTACCAAAAAATCCGAAGAAAGAGCCTCCATCAGATTTTAAACGATGGATCAAATTCTTCACCCTTCGAATCCCTTTTGTAGTAAGGTACAAGAGAATGTAGTTCTACCTACAAAACGCTTTGAATGTATCTCAATGATTTTCAACGTTTAAAATGTGTAAAATAGGGCTTTTTTTCTCTTTCTTTTTTTTTGAAAATTTTAAACTGCAGCTTTGCATGAAGCTTTTAGACTTAAGATCGTCTGCCCTTTGCTTTGAATCTTGCCAATATGCTCCGTGTTAAAACATCTAAGGTGATTTTAATACAATCCATAAATAATTAGGTAAAGTAAAAATATCTACATTAGGGCAAAGGGAAACACTTTTTCCCCTGAAACAACTACTAATGTGATCAGAAAAAATAGAAAAACATACAAATTCAGTTTTTAAAACTTGACCTCGATCTGCGACTTTCTGTCTGTGACGGCTAAAAGATTTGAGTTTTTTACTCCTGTGATTGTAATTAAATTTTATGTTTCACTATTCATAGTTACAAGTACCTACTTTGGTCACTATTTTATTGTTTAAAATTATACCTAATTCCAACGGAGATCTATAACAATTTTAAAATAGATAATTGAGTATCTACATTTTACGATACTTTTCTATTTTTCTTTTACGCTTAGTTACCCAAAAATCTTTACAATTTTTAATCCTGTTCTTGGTCTCATTGCTGTCCGTGTATCATTCATGTCTCCATAAACTTGCAATCATTTTGTAACTGTTAAGTTTCCTGTGAGCATTGTTCTGAACTCTAGAATTGAGTCTAAATATATTTTTAAAGCAAAATCAATCAATCAATTTTAACCATCTCAAATTCCATTTTTAGGAATAGATTTAATAAAGAAATAGTTAAAGAAAAAATAAAATGGTACAAAACCCTTAATTTGATCTTATGATCAATGTATTTAAGTGCATAGCTTCTTCTCCCTTTGATGCACAATGATTCTTTAATTTTGTCTATTATTTTTGTATCAAATAAATTGTGATTTGATATTTAAGAGCGGACGCACAGGCTAGAAAAAAGATACATAAGCATGTATACAGTGTACACATTATAAATCAATCAGGGAAGTAGCATCTGAATCTTCCCGGATCAGCCATCATCTTGTAAGTTTCAATTTCACATCGGCATATATTTTTTGTCTATTTTTAAATTATTTAATATGGTCGATGAATGAAGTTAATCTGTATTAACAAAAAATACAGTTATAATTTATTTTAATTATCAATTTTTGAGTAGCCTTTACTGGCAATTCCCTGCTTGATCCCCCCAGTCTCTTTACAGCCAGTCTAGCCTAGATTGGAACCTGAGACCTTTTAGTCATACGACCAACACTACAACCACCACACCCACAGGAAGTTAACTGGTCCTTGACTTTATATTACTGGTCCTGGTTTTATTTTGTTGAAAGATAATTTACAATAACTTTGTATTCATTCAAAATTGTTGTACTTAATGAGACTGCCATTGAATTTACTGTATTTTTGTACATCTCAAATTAATTTTCTCTTGTAAGTCGCCTCTTGGTATTTTTGAGAGACTGATGTTTAGGAAGTTACCTGCTGATTTTGTCTTTCAAATCGCCTCATTTTTCAACCTCATCCTGTCAAGTATGAATTATCTTGAAAACAAGAATTTTAGTTTCCCAATCGTCCATTTTATTACAAAGATTTGAACGTACTTCAGTTGTTGATCAAAAAATGTTTATTGACTTCGTTAAGGATTTTAGAATAGAGGCACACAAATAGCCCGCTGATACTTCTTTAGTTAGCTGTTTCGCAAATCATACTGCTAGCTTTTTTCATTCTCCGACACCCTTTACCTCATTTTTATCTATTGATCCTCTTTGAATAATTTTATGGCCTCCCCAGTTTTTATAGACTGTATTTTCAAATCAATCTCGTAACCTTTGTTCAATAAATTTTTTACCTTTGTTTAAAATGTGAAATTTTTTGACATATTTTTATTCTCAGTAAGTAAGTACTTTTCTCTTACAATTGTATATTGTATATTACAAAATTCGTTGTATCTCCTCAAGTCATGTATTTTTCTTTGTTTAAAGTTTTACGGAACAGCTGTTAATATTGCATGTTGTTATATCTATTAAGTATTCTAATTCGCTCAGTAATGAGCCTTTAGAGAAGGTTTGAATTAAAGAACTAGCAAGATTTTTTCTCTTCAAAATCTCTCAAGGAAAAAACAAATCTTACAACAGGAAGTCTGGAAATCTACTCTCAAACAAGAATCAAGCATTTACAACACATTATCAGAAGATATATTTTACTTTTGTCAAATGATAAAAATACAAGTTACGTCATTTGCATCATCTAACTTCCATTAGATCTGGTTTAAAAATACTTGTGAGTATCTTGTTCAGGAGTTTAATTCTAATCTTACTGTTGCATGATTGGTTTTCTACGCAATATTCTAAAGCAAAAACAAGTCGCTTTGTTTCTCCTCATAAAAGTACAATAGGAGCAGAAATTTTGAAACACTGCAATGAAGATTCGTAATCTGGCCTTTTGGCCATCGACATTACGGTTTTCTCTGGTTCAGACCTTGTCTAGTGGCCCATTATTGGAGCAACTTTATTTTTGGACTGTTAAATTTGTTTACTTTAGTTTTAATTAAATATGAATTAAAAATCATGTTGCCCTACAATTATTTGAGCAAACTTATTTTTAGACTGATCAATTTTTTCATTTCAGTCTCAAACAAACATGAAGAATCATAACTAGCCTTGTTTATAAAATTTGGTCTGTGTCGTGTCGATAATTTACCAGTCCACAAAAAATCCTTGCATCCTCTCCACTCTTTATTTGCATTTGGAACTCATGGTGTATAGTATTAAACATTAGCCATTCCAGCAAGTTAACGCTGTGAAACTCCATTTACATCCATTGAATCTATCGATTCAAGATAAGACAGGCTGCCTCATCTAGAATCGATTGTCTAACACCACATTCGAATGGAGCAAAAACAGTTTTCCAAACTTACAAGAATCACCACTGGTATGAGATGTCCATGCTATCCACCTATGCGTTACTAAGGAGAGTTACCTTTCAGTCAGTTTTTAAGGAAACAAATGTTTTAAGTAATGCATTTTTTTGCGTGTGTACTTGAATTTCAGTTACTTTTGACTGGTTCATTAGTACTGAAACATTTAATTAAGCATTTTTGGTAATTATTCCCCAAAATTTAAGTGATTGCCAAGTGTATCCCTCAAGCTTGTTTTGGCAAATTATTTTCTTAAAATTTTTTTTTGACCGCGTTTAAAGTGTCATTTGTTAACTGATGTTTAAGTCTTTTTCCAGTCTTCAGATGCAGCACTTTGTGCTTTTAACTATAAGTTGGTATCAAGATGGTATTCGTTGCTTTCAAACTTAAATTTTGAGCCAATGCAGAAGTATTGTTGACAAAATTCCAATTTTGTTGGGATTGCAATTGAATGAATTAAGAATCCGTTCTGTAACATTCCATCAGCCGTTTCAAATGAACATATGAATTTTTATGGTTTCAATGCTGATCTGAGGGCTGTTTTCTATCCATAACTGTAAGTTTTTCATTCATTTATACATGTTATGAAAAAAGATCTCTGTTAAAAATCCTGAATGATAATGTTTGTGATTATTTCACTGAAAATATTATTTTTTAGAAATTGTGAACCAGATATTATCAACATACCATGTGGATTTTATTTTCAACTTCTCTTAACTCTTTGACCTCCTAATCGAACCTTGCAAATATGATTTTATCTGTTATAATCGTTCCTTCTTTCTTAGATCATTCTTGTTATTTTACCTTGATATGTCTATTTTTCATGTACATAGACTAATTTTGATTCTACTTTTTTTTAAAATAAATCTTTTTCCTGGAATTCCCGATTGAATATTATTATTCTTGCCGTCTCCACAAAATCATACAATCCTAATGCTATCCATGTCATTATGACGTCGTGTGAAAACAACTTAACTCTAGCAAAGAAGAAGAGCAAGTTAATAAAACCCTTCTCAAATAATAATTCTGTAATAATTTTACCGATTCGTACATTTTTTTGCAGCTAAAAGCACATAAGAATTAGATGTAACTCTGCCTATGGGGGAATTTTTTGTTAATATTGCATCTCACTGAAACGCACCGTAACGGTCTCGTCTATGTCTTTGGTCTAACTCTAGCCTGTGTCTCAGTTCAGACCTCCTGTTTATCAAATGATCGATTGCTTTGGTTTGCTTTGGTTGTATGTAAGTCGCTCATATTGAAGGAAAAATTGTGACCCAATCTTTTCTCATGGGAAAAGGATATATTCGAGCTATTTTGGTCCCCTTGCAAAACATTTAATTGAAATATAACAAAAGTAAATGAACAGTGAGACTCCCAAACCACGCATCTTGTTTGCAGTGTTTCCAAATCTCTGCTCCTGTTTTATTTTTTTAAAGAGGATCAAATCAACATCATTCCTTGAAATTTTCTCAGAATTTGCTGTGCACATAGGAGAAAAATCGCGGACGTTTTTAAGAATTGACGTTGAGCATAGTTCTCCTTTTAAAAAATGAAGTGGGCCACATTTTGCAATAAGAACCACTATGTCTGGCTCATTATAGAAACAACATCTATGCCATCGGTTTTCCTATGCAGAAAGGTGTTTTTACAGAAAAGCCGGAGATAGTGGTTCCTCATTGCAAAATGTAATGCAAGTATAACACGAATTACCATGTGTCTCCCATTCTTACGAGTTCGCCTTCAATAAATGTGACAGCAATTTGAGCGGCATTGGAGGTCAAATAGTTGTATGCAGTGGTTATGCCACTTTCGCTCAGTCCCAGCAAGGAACAAACGTTGATACTGTCCTTACCGTGTGTCTCCCGTTCCTTCAAGTTCGCCTTCAATAACACGATGGAAATTTGAGCGGTTTGAGAGCTCGAATAGTTGCGCGCAGTACCTACTCTCGTCCCGTACGGGCCAAATTATTTTTGTTGCTTTGAACTTTTTGAGATAGTAAACATGCTAATTTTATGCAGGTAAAAATAAACGTCGTACTCTAGGATTTTTTGGACTTCTCAATTAATATTATGAAATTCCGAAAATGTGCTGTCTGTTACGCGGTGAAAAGTCAGCGTAACAAACAGCACATTTTCGGCCATTTATAAATTAAAATTGAAAAGTAGAGCGATAAATCGTTGACAAGCATAAAACCCGTAGCCCCGTGTAGATTAGTGCAAAAACATTCGAGAGATTATCATTTTTACTAAAAGTATGACCGAAAAATGTGTTGTCTGTTACGGCGACAAAATTATTCCAGTTATCGTGAAACCAATCACATCCACTATCTCGGATTATTGAATTTTGAAAATGTGTGTTGAAATTCAAGTTTTCCGTCTGAAAGTGTCACCCGTGACAAATTTCTCAAAGATCAACCAAACAGTAGCCGCGTATCGTACGATCATTAGGACTCTACGCAGAGGTAAACGATACCCGTCAATTTACCTACGTTAGTGCGCCTTCAATTTCGTCTGATACTGTGCAATACTTCTGTGGTGGAATAGTTGCTCAGAGCGCCTTCTACAGTGTCGCTTTCGCTTGGACTTGATGGTAGAAGATCACGATTGCCGCTGATAATACATTTTAGCGCGCGCGCAGTTACACATCTTCTCATTGCCGATGGTGAGGTAAAACTATTTACACCTCAATTTGCGATGTTGCAACTATTCTCTGCCTGTTTTTTTACGGGCAAACGAATATGAACACTTTAAAATCTGCCGTGATTTTTCTGAGATATGACGAAAAATATTATTTCAATGTTTCATTCAAGTCTATTTAGTCACCTCCCTCACGAAAGAACGTAACTATATTTCAATGTTGTCAGATTTTTCCGAGCAAACATAAAATTTTCACCATGAAAATTTTGAGAATTTCTAGCCGAGAATCTATGTAATTTTTCTTCTAATTTCACGAAAAAAGTAGATCATCGTAAATAATTGAATTGTTTGAGTAAATTTGACATCCTTGGAATGGACTTACGTTCCTTCGTGTGGGAAACGACGATTTGTATGCTTTCCTTGAAAATGGAAAACAAACGATGTGTGTTAACCTTCCAGCGAATAAAAACGGATCCGAAAGTAGGCCTTGAAGTACCCGGACCTAAAGAGTTGATAAGCGCCCAAACATTCTAAGTGACAAGCAGTGTTATTATCACATAGCTCGTGGTTCCGCTTTTGCGTCTATGATGTACAGATTATTCACCTGCATGCTTCGCGATAAATCGATTGATCCACCATTTAAACATGTGGAAAAGGATCGATAAACAGGGTGTTCGCAACGAACACCTTAGTAATTGATTCTTTACCATAACTTCAAATGGAGAAAAATCGATAATCGATTATTCACGCTTCGCCGTTGGTGTGAGTGTAGCCAAAAAAACACACAAAACGTCGTCGTATTCCATCCTCGGCGTGTGTGCGTTGGAGATATGCAAAGGCGGACTGGCCATGGGGGCGGGGAGGCGATCGCCCCCTAACAATTTGCCGCGGAGGTCCCGAGGGGGCCCCCGCGGCGAAATTTTTTCGTATCATCGTTTTTTTCCTGTAATGTTGTAATTTTCTTATCCTTTTCATTTACTGCAAGGCCCCGAATTCCTTGAAAATTTGTCCCTAAGAGACATGGAAGGTCGCCTAAAGCATTTGTGATGAAGGAACTCCCGATGAATCCTTAAAATGGGTTATTTTGAAGTTCACTTACTGTAGAATCCAACTCCAATAATGCCTACGTGTTTAAAAAGTGTGAAATTTTGAAAATTTACCGGGGAAGGGCCCCCGGACCTTCTTTGAAAGGCCCCCGAACGACAGGAGGGGCCCTTACATTTAGGTCTCCTCCTAATTTTTCGACAATCAGTCCGCCCCTGTGTGCCGCTACTGCAGTTTTGACCATTAAGGCCGTAGTTTAAGGGCGCTAAAGCCAGGATTGTATTTCGCAAACAGATAATTTTTGCAGAATAATTAAATATAAAGAAGCAGGAGTAATTTAACTAAATAATAAACGGAACTCAAATCTACACTATAATGCAAAACAATTTGGAAAATCTCGTCTTGTAAATACAGAAGATTCGAAAACGCCTTCAATTGATGCGTGATACCTCACGCGTTCCAGAGAGTTCAAATAGTTGTTTCCCTGCGCCTTAGCAAGGCGAGGGAAGTTTAATATTAAAGTAGCGTCCCCGCGTTGATTTTCAGTTTTCCTGTGCCGCTATTACAGTTTCGACCGTTCACGCCGAAGTTTAGGGACGCGAAAGCCAGGATTGTATTTCGCAAAAAGAAAATTTTACCAGAATAATTAAAAATTAAGAAGCAGGAATAATATTACTAAATGATAAAAGGAACTCAAATCTACAATATAATGCAAAAATTTTGGAAAATTTCGTCATGTAAATACAGAAGATTCGTAAACGCCTTCAATTGAAGCGTGATACCTCACGCGTTCCGGGGAGTTCAAATAGTTGTATCCATGCGCCTAAGCAAGGCGATGGAAGTTTAATAATGAAGAAGCGTCCCGGTTCGGGTTTTCGGCTTTCCTGTGCCGCTACTGTAGTTTCGACCGTTAAGGCGGGAGTTTAAGGGCGCTAAAGCCGGAATTGGTTTTCGCAAAAAGATAGTTTTTGGAGAATAATGAAAAATAAAGAATCAGGAATAATTTAACTAATTAATAAAAGGAACTCGAATCGACAATATAATGCAAACAAATTTGGAAAGTCTCGTCATGTAAATACAGAAGATTCGAAAACGCCTTCAATTGAAGCGTGATACCTCACGCGTTCCGGAGAGTTCAAATAGTTGTATCCTTGCGCCTTAGCAAGGCGATTGAAGTAGCGTCCCTGTTTGGTTTTTCGGCTTTCTTGTGAAGCTTCTGCAGTTTCTACCGTTAAGACTGGAGTTAGGGGCGCTAAAGCCAGGATTGTATTTCGCAAAAAGATAGTTTTTGCAGAATAATTAAAAATTGAGGAGAGTAATTTGACTGAATAATAAACGGAACTAAATCTACAATATTATGTAAAACAATTTGGAAAATCTTGTCATGTAAATACAGAAGATTTGAAAACACCATCAATTGAGGCGTGATACCTCACGCGTTCCGGAGAGTTCAAATAGTTGTATCCCTGCGCCGTAGGAAGGCGATGGAAGTTTAATATTGATGTAGCGTCCCCGCGTTATTTTTCAGCTTTCTTGTGCCTTTACTGCAGTTTCGACCGTAAAGGCCGTAGTTTAAGGGCGCGAAAGCCAGGATTGGTTTTCGCAAAATGATAATTTTTGCAGAAGGATAAAAATAAAGAAGCAGGAATAATTTAACTAATAAGAGAAGGAAAGCGAATCGACAATATAATGCAAACAAATTTGGAAAATCTCGACATAAAAATACGGAAGATTCGAAAACGCTTTCAATTGAGGCGTGATACCTCACGCGTTCCGGAGAGTTCGAATAGTTGTATCCCTGCGCCTTAGCAAGGCGATGGAAGTTTGATATTGAAGGAGCGTCTCTGTTTGGTTTTTCGGCTTTCCTGTGCTGCTACTGCAGTTTCGACCGTTTAAGGGTTTAAGGGCGCTAAAGCCAGGATTGGTTTTCGCGAAAAGATAATTTTTTGCAGAATAATGAAAAATAGAGTAGCAGGAATAATTGAACTGATTAATAAAAGGAACTCAAATCGACAATATAATGCAAACAAATTAAGATAATCTCGCCAGGTAAATTTAGAAGATTCGAAAACGCCTTCAAATGAGGCGTCATACCTCTCCCGTTCCGGAGAGTTCAAATAGTTGTATCCCTGCGCCTTAGCAGGGTGATGGAAGTTTAATATTGAAGTAGCGTCCTTGTTCAGTTTTTCGGCTTTCTTGTG